GGGAAGAAATCCAAGCTGAAAAAGGTTAAGACATTGCAATATATGGAACATTTTAACATATATCACGTCGTTTTTTAAGCAAACACATGGACTAGAAATCTAATTGAGCATTTTCTTCATGTGATGAATGGAAAAAAGCAGGGGCACTTAACGAAAGATGAAGAAGAAGTAGCTGAAACCTTGTATGCTTTGGCCAGTATGTTTTCTGATACAAATAAAGCTAATCAGCCAGGGTCTAGTGATGATCCAACTAGCTCGAAATTGTTGAATGGCGAAGATGCGGATGAAGTTGAAGGTATGCTTTTGTTATTCGAGTAAATGCATAATAGCCCCTAATGTTCAGCCTAGTTAGAAATGTATAAAGAAAGATCAGCTATCTAATCACAAATATCTGGCCCTATCTGTTTTACAAACACAATAATTATTTGCATACTCTTTGTTATGTATTGCGACTCATTATTTGCTTCCACTTGTATTCTTTCACTCTAAAATGCCATTTTTTTTTTTAATAATAGATACTCCGAATTTGTCTGGTTCGAAAGGAAAGCTTGTCAAGTTACAATCTTTCAAAGAGGCTAAAACGCCAGAGTCTTCGTCTAGCAAGCAGACTTCAAGGTGGGTCACAAATTCCATAGTGCTGTCTTCGATATTTATATCTTATTGGTTCTAAATTTTGTCCCTTTTTTGGTTCAAATGGCAGACCGCAAGTATCGAGTGAATTAATTGACTTCGGACAGGTATTATTCAAGAGTTGTGTTCTACTTAACTGTATCTTCTTAGTTTACTTATGTACCTAAGATCATGTTTTTCTTTTTTGTTTCTTTCCAGGCTACAGTTTCTGGATATCAGAATGGCAAGAATAATGGCAAATGTAAGTGTTTTATTAAATTATATCTGCCATTTTCATCACAGGCTAGATTTTTTATTTTCTTATCTGAAGTATTTATGAGATGATATGACCTTTGGTTTTGAAAACATAGGTTCATTTCAGTCACCAACAAGAACACGAAGTTGCAACACGAATGGATCTTCCCTGCGGTAAGATTATCCCATAAAGAATTCTGTATACTTTTTTTGGAGTGTGTACATCTCTTGTTTATTTTTATTAATTCAATATCATTCACTAACAGAGTCCCCGTCTGGCTTGAGAGCACGAATACTGAAAAGGTATGCATTTTTTGTTTCTCTCTAGCTTTTCAAGATTAAATTGGAAATATCATTTACAAATATGTCATCCTCACCAGAATCTTTCTCTTGCTCTTTAATCCAGTGTACGCAAAACACAGTTCAATCTGAGAAGTCATGGAAAAGATCTTCTGCACATGTCTACATTAGCCGTCTGATTAAAGTCTTGCAAATACCGGAGAATAGAGAAGGTTCACTCGAAAATTTTAGTAATTTATCGACCTCTGGAGGGGCCCATAACTTGACACGATCGAATGGTAGTAGAATAACTGATGCACTTTTTAGTGGTACCACCCATTCTGCTGCCAACAAGGAGCTAGCCAAAATCGAACATGATGTTTTTTCAAATAATAAAACGTTTATCCAAGATCGGCAGCTGGCTCAAGAAACCTCTGCCTTATGTTCTTCTGCTAAAGAGGTGAGTTCATCTAAATTAGTCTTTGTAATGCTTCTGTAAATTTTCGGAAACTGCCTTGACATTTAGTTGAAAAAATGCGCATACGGTAAAGCGTAGACAAACATCCAGGGGTTATTATGTACTTCTGAAAAAATAGCATGGCTTTTTGTGATTAGCGTAAACATTGTTGTTTATTGCATTTCATTTTGTATAACCGAAAAATTTCTGTTACTATCTACATTTTTTTCCCAGGATTTCCATGACTTCTTATCATTGGGCACGACTTCTTATTCGGATGTAAACAAAGAACACATTCACGAGGCTCCTAAACAATTTCATGCACCATCATATGTTCAGCAATCGCAAAAGTATTCAGGTTTAACAACACAACAGGTGAGCTTTTTCTTGAAAACTCTTGACAAAGATATATACGGTAACTCTCGACTCTTGCTCCAAAACAAATAATTGATACTGTAACTAAACTACTAAAGAACTTACTAAATACAAGCTCACTTTAAAATAAACAACATATGATGGGTTATATTACAGGTACAACTCCCTCAATATCTTAGCAGTAGCAGCACAGTTAACGGCAGTTTCCCGGGCCCAATGGACTGGCGGCCCGCGCAGTATAATAATAGTGGAGGAGTGGGGCCCGCAAATTTACCCGACTGGAAAAATGGAAACACGGGCTCGCCTTTGAACTGTGCTCAAGCTCTTTTCCCTCATTTGCTGGGCTCAAACCAACAACACTTCTCACCTCAACACTCACAGCAGCACATTATGAAAATGTCTGCTATAAGCTCAACTTTGCCCCTTCCAAAAGTCGAGATTAATCTTCGTCATCATCAACACTACCAACACCATAATCGTCAGTTCCCTTTGGGATTTTTCGAAAGAGGTAAGGTCCCCTTATATTCTGATAATGTACAGCAGTTGCAACTGCCATGAGTAATGGCTGTGGAGTAAATTATCATATGTATGCAACGGTTGATTGCCCCCATTTTGCACAAATGTATTGAGAATTCCAACCACACCAAAACTCCGCCCAAGATCC